GAAGAAGAAGAGGAAGAAAAAAGCCCCCATTGTAGTGTACTTGAAGGCTTGAAGCAGCTTGGACTAGCTTTCTCCCTTTAATTAAGACAGGTATGTTTTCTAAAGCTAATTGACAAGATTATAGGTTTGTTGATGTTCTTATACGTTGGATATGTGTTGTAGTTTTCACATTTTAGTTCTTGTAATCTTCATGGGGATGCATTTCTGCCATAGGGTATTTCATAAAAATGCTTAAATATATATATAAAAAAGATGAATTACATTCTTTGTGCTGAACATTTCATTTCCTTGTCTCATCTCTCCTTACTGTTTCTTGGGTTCAAGTGTGCTACAGAGTTTTCAAAATCTATAAGCTAGCTAAAATGTGTAAACCAATGTACTGTACTGCAGACTTGCAGAGCACTACAACCATTTCCACCTTCATGAATTGAGGAAGAAGCATCTAGCTAGCTAGCTATAGGTTTGTTTTTTTTAGTTTTTCTTCTTCTTTTTTCAAAAAATAAAGTATATAATTCATCAACTAGTCAACCAAAAACTTTGCTGGTCAATGGAACAATGAGTGGTTTCTGATTTAGTTTGATCATTGAACTTGACCCTTTTGTAAATGGAGATCCATACAAGTGAGTAGTGACCACATTGTTCAGTTTCATGGTGCACCACTGCACTTTCACAGAATGATAAGTTGATTTTCTCCGGCCACCTGTCATTACATGATATGGTTTGAAGTAATAAACATCTCTAAAATTTAAATTAGATTAAGTTGTAAACATCAAGAGTTGTTTGATTTGTTCTTTAGTTGTTGTTCTGTTTCACTATTTTAAATTTTAAATGATAATGTTAGTCAGATAGTGCTGAGATGATATTAAACAGTTTAACTGTAAAACTTGATAGATAGATGTGTCTGAGTCTTTAAATCTGATTTCTCTACTGCAACACTCAATCTATGGTATATATAGTGACTTTGGTCTGTGGGGCATGCATGTGCTATTTAATTTAGTTTGAAATGTGAAAATGTCCTTTTGTTGATGAGAACTGTCTACCTTACACATATATTTCCTCAGTTAGACTTTGATAAAGACATCATAGATAGATCTCCCATGCATCTATCATCATCTCTGCTTGGTCTATCTTATGTATTTTGCTTCTATCTTTAAGCTAGATAGAACATTTTACATGTGGGGGTATGAATGCATGAATCAATAATGTCAATTATCAAATTATGGATCAAATAAAATTAATCAAACTAAATATTATTTGATTTTATTTGCAGTTATTAATTAATTCTTTTTATCAACTTATAAAGTAAAACTAAATTTAAAAATCTTTTTCAGGAACAACAAGATGCTTTTATGTGTACCTAAGATGGATCATATGGCTGTGAAGGAATTGAAGGATGAGTTCGCGGTGAAGAGTTCACATTGATTTTTCAAGGGAAATAGTTTAAAAAGTTTAATGATATTGGCATGAAGAGGCTCAATCTTATCTTAATTAAGACATGATGACTTAGAATATGTTTGATGTTATAATGCAGACATTACAAATAGTTTTCAGAATTTTAGTTTGTAATTTTTCTTATTACCCATTTTTTTTTTTTA